TAGTCTTATTTTTAATAAATTAAAATAAATTTAATCATTCAATCTAATGATGTCACGTGTCACTGGTATCACGTGTCATGCCACATGTCACTAGTACCACATGTTGTGCAATTTAATTTAAGAATATTTTATTTTTATTTTAACTTAAAAATATATATTTTATGTTAAAATATTTTGAGGTTAAGATAATAATAAAATATATTTAATAATTTAAAGTAATAATAAAATATATTTAATAATTTAAAGTAATAATAAAATATATTTAGTGAATTAAGATAAACTATATACATTAAAAAATTAAAACGATAATACAATATTTTTAAATTAAGTTAAATAAAAATATATTTAATAAGTTAAAATAAAAATAAAGTTAAGTATTTATACACCAAGATACAAAATATATACAGTAGTGACATGTGACATCATTCGATTTGAGAATTAAATTAATTTTAATTTATTAAAAATATGATAAATTCAGAGAATATGTAAATAATAAGGGCCAAATATGTGATTATACCAAAATACCATATCACCTAGTTTACGACAGTTAAACCCGTAGTGACTACATCTTAACTAAATAAAAACGAAAGTAACCCTATATTATATTTTTTTTAAATCAATGAGAAAAAGTTGACAAACCACAAACATAAGCGACCAATCCATGTAGTTAACCCTAATTTTTTAGACTAATAGTTTAAATATATGTCGATAAGATGCACACCATCAGGGACAGACACAATATTTTATGTTACGATGATGAACTTCTAAAATTTTAGGAAGTGATGAACTTATTCAATTTTAGAGGCGAAAATATATTTTCAATAAAAAAATATAAACAAAATCTATAATGTTTGATAATTTTTAATTTTTAGATATGATTATCCCCATCCGCCCTCCCTCGATCCATCCCAACACAGAATGTAACTTAAATCGAAATAAAATTTACATTTAGAACACACATGATATTTATGCATAGTCCAACTCAAATTTAGAATATCAAGATTGTCAATACCTCAAAGTTCTTCATTGAGGAAAAACCTTATTAGCTTCAATACTTAAACTAATGGTGTTGACAATGGTATTAATTATATATTTAAATAATATGTAATTTAATAATCTTGATCAGCTTAATTATTTTTTTATTAATATAGGGTAAAAGCAAGACAATATTTGTTTAAAGAAAACTCTCAATCTTTCGATATTAAACGCTCACACCTCTGTCATCTAGGTGCTCAAACTTGAATCTTCAAGGAATAACAACAATTCCTTTAGTACAGAAGCTACTTGATTCGTGCTTGATCGACTTCCTTAGTTCATACTAATAAGGCATTTTAAATAAATTTTAAATATTTTCCTTAACTTTTTTATAGAAAAAGAAATTAAAAAGATGACAACAAAATTGCACATATTAAAAAGAAATATTTTATTAAATAAAAAAAATTAGATGCATGAACAAAGAGGTTAAGGTAATCTAATAATAATATTCTTTTAAGACTCGAAAATTCTCAAATGTAGATCTCAAATCAACTTAAAAATCATATAAATTTTGAATTATATCAAAACTCGAAATAATCTATAAAATGTGTTTCTTTATGTTTAATTTAGTTTTTTTAAATAACAATAAAAATATAATTTATATAATTATTTTTTAAAATTCATATTTAATAAACCCATAATTTATCTTTAAAATCATTATGAGATTTTTAAAAAATATATATTAATAATTTCTCCAACAAATATTAATTACATGAAATTTATTGACTCAAAATTATTTTTTAGGTAAACTCCACATTTAGTACTTAAACTATCTGTTTTAGTATTTAAACTTTCATTTTTTAAAACTATATCTAACATTTAGTTTTTGTTTCATTTTAGTAACCACCGTTAAAAACTTAACACATTTAGTACCTAAACTATCAGTTTCGGTCTATTTTAATACCTAAACTTTTAATTTTTTTCAAAACTTAATGTTAAATTTTGAACGGTACTAAAATGAAATAAAAACTAAACTTTAGGTATATTTTTGAAAAATATTAAAAGTTTAGGTATTAAAATTGATGAAAAATGATAGTTTAGATACTAAATACGTAATTTACCCATTTTTTATAAAAGATATTTTTTGAGTCTGTATCATATTCCAAAGTGATGGGTATGATGAGTGGCATGTTTGTGGTGGTGGGTGCTGTGTTATTTTCTCTTCCTCCTTTCACTTTCAACTTTTTTTTTCCACAATTTCATAACTTTCCAACCCTTCATACATCTTGTCAACGTTTTTGCTAAAAATAAATTTAATTTAATTAATTTTAATTTTTTATTATATTAAAGTTTTTATTCTTAAAGTGTGTTCGGAAATTATGATGGAGATCAATTGTTTTTAGGTTTTTACTTAAATATCACCTATTAAAAATTATATGCTATTTTAGTAGTAATATTCAATTAATTTTAAAATTGACACTATTTTTTGCCTAAATGACATAGTGCTAATGCAATTTGGGATAAAATAAAAAAAAGGAAGAAAGGGTTAAAAATATGGAAAAAAAACGTTTGATGTGTTTCGTAAATACATCTTTGCACGAGCACGATCCAAATGACAACAACGCATATATATTAATTTTGTGTTCAATCACTCAATAAATGCATGTTTAAAATGTTATACTTTCTATTTATTTATAGAAATCACTAATTTTATTCAAAATAAGAAATTTCCCAAAGTGCAATGAAGATTTACGATCATAATCGTAAATTTAGCACATAATTATGACAATTTCCTATAATCATTGAAACAAAACTAACAAATTAAGATCACATAATGATCATACAAGGAATTTAAACTCTAACCAAGAAACTCAAACAAATATAGATATAAACAGATCTGTTTGCATCAGTAAATGAACCACAAAAAGAAATCAAACTACTGAAAGACCACTGACAAACTTCAAATTAGACTCAAGCAACATGAAAAACTATTCACGAACACATACCAAGTATCCATATCCAATCTAATGATCCAAAGCAAGAACTACAATATAAAATATAAGTGTCATCTTGATTAATCGTGATTATGTCAAATCAATCCTTAAAAAATAAGTAAAAACAACGGTTAAATGATTAAAAAACATGTCAAAATACAAAAGAAAACGTGTCATACATATAAATTAATTAAAAAAAAGATGTGATATAAAAAATAAAAAAATATCGATAATCGACAACCAACATTAAAGTTAATGCCTTAAAAAGCTCATAACAATATTAATGTACGAATACCAGCCTTGTGTTCAGGCATATGTTATATTTAAAATTTAGATACCACTTTTAATTAAAAAGTTGAAGCGCCAACTTGAGGAAAATGATAAGTTAAGTACCAGTTTATAAATTAACCCATGAGTAGAGTCAGATTCCGTTACAATTGTCAACTCGGTTGTTAGACCGATTCCCACACAGCAGGACAAGGAAAAAAGATTGAAAAGAGATACATATACACGTCATCAAGAGTGAGTCTGACGCTGAGTTGACTATTTGCCCCACTCCTCAACTCAGTGGACAATCATCTCCATTATACCCATAATATATAATACAACAAATTAGTGATTCCTCATCATTATTTCCTTTGATTTAACACTATCAATTAACACACATGAAAACTACAATTAAAATAAGAGTAAAATACACATATGGTCCCCTGACTATAGGATACTATTTTATTATGTTCTTTAACTATTAAAAGTTACAGAATGATCCTATAACTATAGAATGTTGATTTGTTAAGTCCTTTGACTATTAAAAGTTATAAAATAATCACCTGACAATTCATTATGTTTCAAACTCGTCTTTTTCTATTAAAAAAGGGCAGTTGTTTAAACTGGATGTTAACATGAGGGCTGGAATATGGTCGTCATTTGAGATTCTAAGATCATATTTTATCATGTCACAACCAACAAGTTAACGTTCAGCTCAAATATTGTCCATTTTTAACGAAAAAGACGAGTTTAGAACATAATGAATATCCAAGTGACTATTTTGTAACTTTTATGTTCCCGAGGAACTCAACAAAGCAATACTATATGGTTGGAGAACCATTTTTAAATTTTAATAGTCGAGTGATTTAATAAAACAACACCCTATAATCGGGGATCATTTGTGTATTTACCCTTAAAATAAACTCCCAAAGTCAATTCTCAACTTTTACTATTAAAATAAAATTAAGCTTTTAACACCAATTTTATAATTAAATTATTTCAAGTTAATTACAACCATTATCATTAATTACGAGAAGATTTTAATTTAATTATCAAAATTTTAATTTTATCAATTAAAGGAATTAATTATTTAAATAATGTCAATCAAATTATTTGTGTAAATATTTAATGAAAGAATTGATGTGATAACTAAAAATTAATATAATTTTACATTTGATCCTCATTACTTATATGTTCTATTAATAAACTCGTTTTTATTTTTAATTTATTGATTTGGATTAAAATTAAGATAAAAAGATAAAATTTGTAAATAATAAGTACTAAATATATAATTATATTAATTATCATATCAAGTCGGGTTAAATATATAATTAAACTATTTAATCTTTAATTTCTTCCCGATTCAATTTGGGATCAAATGAATATTAAAATTTTGACTAATTTAAATCTATTAAATAACCTTAGTGATAAAAAATATTATTTTTTCTAAAAGACTTATGCTCAAACAATTACGTATTTAAAATATAACGCATAATTAATAATTAAGAAAAAATTTAAATAAATTCTAACTTATTATCCAACCTTAAAAGTTTAACCAACTTAGATGCCATCTTAATCAATGATGCTAATAGAAATAGGAAGCGCTTATTCTTCCCATTACCTTATAAATAAATTAATTATAAATTATTATATAATTCACTCTTCTTCTTCCTCCTTTCATATCTTATGTCAGTTTTACTAAAAAAGAAAGCATTTTTCCTTATTTCTTTAAATAAAGATCCCAACTTCATTTCTGATAAACCAACAAAAATTATATATTTTTAAATAAAGATTGTGTATTTGTCTTCGTGTTTTTCTGTATGCCTACGCCGGTTATTGTAGCGCGGCAATGCTTGGCGCCAGATGCAGCCACCGCGCTAGACGAGGCGGTAGCCGTCGCGCGACGGAGAGGACACGCCCAAACGACGTCGTTGCACGCTGTCTCCGCCCTCTTGACCATCCGTTTGTCCTCAGCCTTACGCGACGCATGTACCCGAGCTCGCAACGTGGCCTACCCTCCCCGGCATCAGTTCAAAGCGTTGGAGCTTTGCATAAGCGTGTCACTCGACCGGGTCCCCTCGGGTCAGCACAGCAACGACCCGCCCGTTTCCAACTCGCTCATGGCGGCGATAAAGCGGTCTCAGGCGAACCAGAGAAGAAAACCGCCGGAGAATTTCCACGTTTACCGCGACATCTCAAATCAACACAATCCCAATATATCGTCCGTCAAAGTCGAGCTCCAACACTTGGTCTTGTCGATCCTCGATGACCCGGTCATCAGTCGGGTTTTCGGCGAAGCGGGTTTCCGGAGCTCCGAAATCAAGCTGGCGATCATCCGTCCCCTCCCTAATCTCCTACGATACTCCCGACCCAATGGCCCACCCGTTTTCCTTTGCAACCTGGAAAACCCGGATCCTGTTCGTCGGAGCTTCAGCTTCCCTTTCCCGGGTTTCACTTCCTATACTGAAGAAGCAAACAATAAGCGAATATGGGAAGTTTTGGCGCGAAGGAGGAATCCTCTGCTCGTCGGTGTATGTGCTCACGATGCACTCGTCAGTTTCACTGATAAAAACAAAGATGGTTCGAACATAATTTGCATCGAAAAGTATATTACAAAGTGTATAAACGAAGGGTTTAAGAAATCAGAGATGGATTCGAAGTTTGAAGAAATGGGTCTGATCGTGGAGCGGGAAATGGATAGATCCGGTGTCGTTGTGAACTATGGAGCTCTGGAGATTTTCGTTAATGGAAAAAACGAGGATGATGATGATGAAGAAGAAGAAGGTGTTGGTTATTTAGTGGAACATTTAACTAGGTTATTACAAGTTCATGAAGGGAATGTTTGGTTTTTGGGAGCTGCAAAAACTTACCAGACATACTTGAAGTTCATATGCATGTTTCCTTCGGTTGAAAAACAGTGGGATCTGCAGATTTTGCCCATTACTTCATTGTCTCACTCTTATCCCAAGTCCAGGTGTATATATATATATATATATATATGATTGTTTGTATGGAACATCATATTGTCATGTGTTGTTTACTGGTTTTGTATTAGTTCCGACCATTTCTCACGGTGTTATTGTCAAAAACTGCAGCGTGATGGAGTCCTTTGTTCCATTCGGAGGGACCTTTCCTACGCCAACCGAGTCAAAGAGCTCCTTAACCGGCTCGTATCGGCTCATGTCACGGTGTTGTCGTCTATGCAGCAAGAAATGTGAACAAGAAGTGATTGCGATTTCAAAGGGAGGAGGGTTTGATGTTTCAGTTGCGGATCAGTACCGATCTGCTTTGCCTTCTTGGTTGCAGATGGCAGAGCTTGATGCACATGGTGGACTATATATGAAGGTGTGTCCCTTGGTTTATGAATTCTGTTTCTTTAGCTTTAAATATCAGCGACGGTGGTCGGATTTGCGATCGGTTTATTTGTTGGTATTTATGAAATTTATGTGAAAACCCAGTTTGTATCTCTTCAGTGCAGGCCAAAGACGATGGAAAGTTTTTGAACATTAAGATAGCAGGGGTGCAAAAGAAGTGGGAAGATATATGCCGGCGCCTTGATCACATTCATCATGTCCCCGAGTCGAACACTTATCAACCGAAGCCTTCGAAAGTAGGCGATTTTCAGACGCCTGAACCGATATCTCCGTATAGTTTGTCCAATTCGAGTGTGGGCAATGTTACCCTAGCATTTCCCACGTCTGGGACTTCTGTGACGACGGACTTAGGACTGGGATTATGTTCGGTTTCTTCAAGCAACAAATTGATGAAACCGACTAGGCAGAACCGTGCAACGGTTGTACGAGACTACTCAAGTTGCCTTCCTGCAAATATTGATGTGACCAATGGGAGTGTCTTGAGCCATGAAGCTCAGTCCTCATCCTCGTCTTCCGACTTTGGTGGACCGCTTGATCCTAGTGATTGCAAGAAGCTTTTCGCTGCTGTCACCGAAAGAGTAGGTTGGCAAGATGAAGCTGTGAATCTTATTTGCAAAGCAGTAGCCAATTGCCGAGCACGAAATGGAAGATGTGATGGAGCCAGTCGAAGAAGTGATGTATGGATGAATTTCAGTGGACCTGATAGGTGTGGCAAGAAGAAAATTGCTATTGCACTTGCGGTTGTGATCTATGGAGATAGAGAGAACTTCATCGACATTGATCTAAGTTCCGAAGACGGGGTTAGACATTTCGATTTAAGGTTTCGAGGGAAGACCATGATCGATTATGTTGCAGAGGAGTTGAGCAAAAAGCCCTTGTCTGTTGTATTCCTTGAGAACGTAGATAAAGCTGATACCCATGTTCTAAGCAGCTTGTCACAGGCTATCCGGACCGGCAAGTTCCCGGACTCACACGGAAGAGAAGTCAGCACCAACAACGCGATTTTTGTGACAACTTCAACTTCAGTTACAGAAAATCACGTTATTTACCGGAAAACACAAACATCGAAGTACTCGGAGGATGAAATATTGAGAGCCATGGGCTGGCCACTGCAAATATTGATCAAGCATGACAACAACACAATCATCCAGGACTCAAGGTCGGAAAGAGTCTCGATGCAGGGGTTTTTGAATAAAAGAAAGCTGATCGGGTCCAATGAAACAATGGAGCATCATGGGAACACCGAAATGGTTAAACGGGCTAACAGGACATCATGTCCGAATCTAGATTTGAATGTTCCAGCCGAAGAAACCGACGATGGAACAGTTGAAAACGACTCTGGTGCTGAGAACCCCACACCTTGGTTGCAACATTTCTTCAAACAACCAGTTGAAAATGTGGTTTTCAAGCCATATGATTTCGATGCACTCGCACACAAAGTATTGGACGATATAAACCAGAGTTTCCGTGAGTCTATCGGCTCGGAATGTTCACTAGAAATTGATTCGAAAGTCATGGAACAACTACTAGCAGCTTCATATTTATCAGATAACAACACTGTGGTGACAGAATGGATAGCACAAGTACTTTCAAAGGGATTTGCAGAAGTTGATAAAAAGTACAACCTTAACACTCACTCTGTCGTGAAACTCGTTCCGGACCACCACACACGTCCATCGGAGAAACCGGTCGGAATTTCCCTTCCCGGGATAATTAACGTAAACTTAAGCCAACCCGGGTAGGTAGGTACGTAAACATTCAGCATGTTGTGAATTATTGTACCACGTATAATATTATGGTGAAAGTGCTAAACTGATAGTGTGGTATACATTCAGCTTCAATCAGACGCTGTTCTCCAAAACTGTGCACGCGCATAACATTAACATTAAACATTGAGAAAATAATTTCAATGACCGAAAATGTCTTATAATATACGATTTTAACCAATTTTTTTTGGATTTACAAAATTAACCAACAAATTCGCAATGTGATTTACATATTCGCGTTGCGAATTTGGAAATTGATTAGCGAAATTGGAGTTCGCGTTGCGAATTTGTTGGTCATTTTCGCAAATCCAAAATAAGTTGGTTAAAATCGTATATTATAAGATATTTTCGGTCACTGAAGTTATTTTCTCTTAAACATTTATAGACACAAAACATACATATTTAAGTTCCAAATTTCCAATGCTCGGGTATTCTTCAAAAATATTGAAGAAACATACAATGACTTATTAGATATTGGTAGGGGTCGAAATATTAGACTTTTTGAGAAAAATATAATGACTTATTAGGTATTTAAACTTAAAATTCAGAAGACAATGTCTAATTTATCTAACATTTAAACGTACAATAACCTAAATTATTATTAGACCAAAAAATTGAAAACATTGGATTATCCTTCTTTAGTTCGACCCCTACTAGATTAAATATTAATAAATTCTTGTATTTTTTAATTCGAATATTTTTTTTAAATGAACTAAAATTATCAAACATAAATTTTTTTACAGGGTTCGGGGTCTCTTTGGACCCCAACATATCTCCGCCCCTGGTTACAACATATCCCATTCTGTGGCAAACCTAGAGGAGGAGGAAGCTACCCTTACACGCCCCTTCAACCTTGATCGAAAATCAAACTTCACCTACATGACAATATCATCCACCCTTGATAGGCCTGTAAACGAACCGAACATTTAGCGAATCTTTCGTGAGTCATTCGGTGGGAAGTTTGCCTATGTTCGTTTATTTATTAAACGAACGAGCATGAACAATATTTTGTGTTCGTTTAATTAATGAACGAACATGAACAGATGGCTCGTTCTTTCAATTACGTTCGTGAACGTTCGGTAGTATGTTCGTACGTTTATGTGCATTCATTTATGTTTAGTCCAATATATATAAACCCATGTAAAATATTAAAGCCCAATAAATTTTAATCTGACACCCATAAATATTTTAAAATTCAATTAATTTTAAATACAAATAAAAAAAGCTCAAAACAATTAAATATAATATAATCCTAAAATTGTTAGGAAAAAAATATATTTTCATTTATGTTCGTTTACGTTCATTTATGTTTATTTATGTTAGTTCATTTGTGTTCATTTACGTTCGTTTATGTTCATTTACATCCGTTCGTTTATGTTTGTTTATCATTTAAATGAACGAACATGAACAAGATACATTCCTTAACGAACGAATACGAACAAGAAATTTTTCATTCGTTTATGTTCGTGTTTATTCATTTGTTCGGTTAAAGTTAAACGATCGAACATGAACATATATCTGTTTGTGTTTGTTCGGTTCATTTACAGACCTAACCCTCGAGTCACAACCCCATGTAATCTATTATTTTTCTCCTGCCAAACAAAATAGAGATAGCAAAACCAAGCTGTCCGAATAATAATATATAAACTTTCAATTTTTTCAAAATTTAACATTAAATTTTGAACGGGATACTGAAATGAAACAAAAAGTAAAATTTTTAACGATAAGTACTAAAATGAAACAAAAATTAAACTTTAGATATAATTTTTAAAAAAATTTAAAATATAAATACTAAAACAGACTAAAATCGATAATTTAGATACTCTAAATATTCGGGGAAGCCATATTCCAAATACCCCAAACAAGGCCTCATCAATTTGGGTTGGGCCTAATCCAAACACGGCTTTAGTAAGTTACATGAAAACTAAAAAAACAATCTTTCCTTGTGTTCTTTATTTTTGCTGCCAACCGATCTGACAAATCTTACTTTTCCTTCTTCCTCCTCCTTTCGTCTGTTTCAGTACACCCGAGCTTCAAAATCTCTTCCTTCTTTTCCCTTAGAAAAATATATGTTAAATTATTATTTTTTTTGTATCTGAATCGAATTGTCGATTGAAAAATATTACAATTTGAAATTATTAGAGCGAAAAATGGCTACTTCTAGTCCTCGCACCGTTGAAGAGATCTTCAAAGACTATAACGCTCGACGCTCCGCTATTGTTCGTGCTCTCACGTTCGGTAAATGTCCCCTCTTTCTGTAAACCCTAATTTTATTCATTCAAATTGTTATTTTGTTTAAATTTTGAGTTTCTTTTTGTATGCTTTGGTTTGGGTTTGGATCAGATGTAGACGATTTCTACTCGCAATGTGATCCAGGTCAGTTTCCGTTTTATTCAGTTGTTTTTTTTGTTTGGTTGCCGAGAAAGTTGACGGGAAAATTAAGATGGACATTCTGTTTCTTCCGATGCGTTTAATTTGATGCGAGCTAAGTAGTCTCTAGGTGATCGAATCGAGCCGGTTCGATTTTGTTTAGGATTTTTTCCCTTTTAACTGTTTTAAGGTTTCTACTTCCTTATGGTCTGAAAAGAGCCGGTTCGATTTGTACATTGTGTCTTTCTGTTATAGGCTTTTGGGTTTTTGTTCTTAGGTGTGAATTCGTTTACACAATTAGTGATAGAACGTTATGTAAATATGGAATCGTGTTGAGCATTTTGTAGAAATTATTGGCTTTGATTCCAGTTATTCTGTCCTTCCTCAGATAAGGAGAATTTGTGTTTGTATGGATACCCTAACGAGGCATGGGAGGTAGCTTTACCGGCAGAGGAAGTCCCATCAGAGCTCCCCGAGCCAGCTTTGGGTATTAATTTTGCAAGAGACGGGATGAATCGTGAAGACTGGCATTCACTGGTTGCTGTGCATAGTGATTGTTGGTTGCTCTCTGTGGCATTCTATTTTGGTGCTCGCCTTAATTGCAATGAGAGGTGCGTCGTTCTGGAATATGTCCTCTCTGGAGTTGCGACATTTGTTTCTCTCCTTTTTATCCGACATTGTGCTTATGATCTGTGCTTTCGCCTCTTGCTCGAAAAATTAGTTTTGGTATATGAATACTTTGACTTGACATAAACGAGAAATGAGGAAGGGGTCTTCAATTTACTCTTGTCTTTTGCCTGTTCTTTTTACTTCAATCTGGAGCCTTCCATTAATCAGAAGGTGTAAATCGGGAGATCTATTCCTTCTATCCTCCATCTCATGTATCCTTTTAAGTAGAGGCCACTTTCTCCGTTTTCGTTGTCGTTTGTATCCTACGTTCGGGGTTCTAGTTTGAACGTCATTCCCAAATCAATCTGTGAATACCCTATACTTTTTTCGATTTGTGTTTTCTTTGTTTTGACGTTTTGGTTCATGATAGTAGGTATAGATCTAGTTCTCGGTACCAAATATAATGATCCTTTCAAGAATTTAGAGTGGGACTAAGCAAACATAGCAAACAAAACAATCCCCTTCAAATTTAGCAAACTAAGCTATCATGTTGCCCCCAAAATGTTTTCGTAATACACAACCGGCAACCCCCCACCCTATTCCTCTTTAGGTTTTCGTTAATACGTTAATCCTATCTCTACTATGTTAATTACTGCTGACTCTGCCTGTTGCATTAGATCTGATTATGTTGCTTCTTTTGAAATGCCTTTTCGAATGTTGTCGATAAAATCGCATGGGACCAAGCACTGGCTACTGCATTCTTAAGCCCTATGATATCAACCTTCTGCACTCTATTTATTGCTTCTGGCTCGTATTCTTATAGAACTATTGCTGATGAGTTTCGCTCCCTTCACTCAACAGGAAGCGCTTATTTAGCATGATGAACGACCTCCCCACCGTCTTTGAAGTTGTAAGTGGACGGAAGCCTGTGAAAGAGAAGCCCGCACCGGAGAGTGGAAGCAAATCACGGAACAGCACAAAGGTGGATTTGCCTATCCCTCGACCTGCGACAACGATGATGAAAGCAATTCAAACTATTAACTCGATCGATTGATTTTGTTTCGTCTTTTTCTTCCTTTCAGAGGTCGATCGATGGACAACCGAGAAGCAATCCTAAGTTAGCAGACGAAAGTTACGAGGACGGTGAAGAAGAGCAGGGTGACACCTTCTGTGGGAGCTGTGGGGGAGGATACAATTCGGACGAGTTTTGGATCGGTTGCGACAACTGTGAACGGTGGTACCACGGAAAGTGCGTGAAGATAACACCGGCCAAGGCTGAAATGATTAAGGTTTACAAATGTCCGTCGTGCCAAAAGAAGGCCAGGCAGTAGCAGCCGATGTTTGCCGGGAAAATCTTCAGGTTGTTGCAACCCCATTATCTGAGTTTCTTTTATGTTACATGAATGACCTGTGTAGTTTAATGGTTTGTAGAGACGAACAAAACTCAATTCGATTATAAAATGTCGGTTTCTTTTAATTTCTAGTCGAGCTATTCAGGTCAATTCGAATCTTTTGGTTTGAATTTCAAGTTCGAGTCGGGTTTGAATTTACATAATTAAACTAACTGAAAACTAAAACGACGTTTTGGTTTTTAGCCAAGTAATTTGATTGTTTGCAATTTGGTCTTTATTTTCTTTGTTTCTCCGCTTTTTTTTATTAGTTTTAAGTCTTAACATTTTCATATCAAATTTGATTACATGTTCCTTAACTACCTTATAATACGTGTAACTTCAACTTCCTTTTTGATGATAATATTTAATTTTTACAATTTAGTCCCTTAACTTTTTATTCAATTTGATCTTTCATCTTCAACTCTTTCCAAGATAAATTCTATCATTTCTTTGATTCTTTTATACTTTCATCAATAATTTGTCCTAAAACTTTTTTTTCCCAAAAAATAACATTATAAATATATTATATAATTTTAAATGGTTTAGATTAATCCTCCTGATAATATTGATCTTCTTTTCCACCTTGATATGAATGAGTGGAGAAGCAAGACTTATTGTCGTTAACACAACCACTCTTTGT